TCTAAATTGTGCCGTTGGTTTGCCATACATCAAAATGAATTCCCTTACCGCGCACCACACCGGCCTTTCCCCACAGAACAGAACCTCTTTTATCGGCGGCACTCACACTTACGGCCGTGTTTCTGGTCCATCAGCGAGCCGAGTCTTTTCTAGGGGTGTACATATGGATTATATTTTATTTAGCCTTTTAGCCTCTCTGACATTCACAGGCACAGGGAGACACTTTAATGTTTTTTATCTCAGTGTGCCGGCCATGCCGTCACTGCTCGTCCCCCGTTTAACTTCTATTTTCCTCTAGCGCCCACATGAAGCGTTCCCTGGCAGCGTTCCCGTCGCTCACCACTCCACCTGAGCAGCGTGTGTGTGCATGGGACTGTCTGAGTGTGTAGGTGTTCATCAGAGGATAACTAAAAAAGAAGAAAAGAGCTTTTAGTTAAATACTACATGCCTTAAAGTGGCTGCATAGAATGCCTGATAGTCGGAGCTGCTTGAAAGGATCAGTCGGTGTTTGTTTTGGCAGGCTCCTCTGCAGCTATATGTAGCTGCACAGGTTGTTCTGGCAGTAGACAGAAAACACAGTCTGCCCCAGATATGAGGCCATTCAAGATCCCGTTCATTTCTAGAGAGCGGAGCGTTGGCTGGTTGGCGTGTTTATTGAGTTCCTGAGGCTCTCAGCTGCTGTGCCTCACTAAAAACATTCACATCTCTTTAGGTTTTCCTGTCTTTCTCACTGTACAACAACAAAATCAGAGGTATTTTCTTTATGACCATTACAAGATAGAGCATAATGGAGATGATGGCAGATTGTTATTTGTTGATTTTTTATCAATTTTCTGAAACACTTATCCCTGCTGGGGTTCCAAGGGGTGCCGACCTTCAGCTGTCTTCAGGCGAGAGGCGGGGTACACCCTGGACAGGTCAACACACTGAAAAAATTTGTTAAATTAAGTGTATTTACCCTTAATTCCAGTAAATAAATGTCATAGTTTACCAATGGAATGAGGATTTTTACTCTTAAAATAAGATAATTAGATAATTAGCTCTTGAAATAAGACAATGCAATTGTGTTTTTAGTGTAAATTGTTTTCCATTTGCGAAATGTATCTTTTACCTCCTCAATCCAAGAAGAAATACACTTATTCTAAGATAAAATGACTTATCTAGATTTTGATTTTTTCCAGTGCAGGCTAGGGGTGTAAATCACATCCATCATGGCGATTCGATTCAGTATCGA